CACGACCATGGCTCCCCCTGACCATGGCTCCCCCTGACCATGGCTCCCCACGACCATGCTCCCCCTGACCATGGCTCCCTATGACCATGGCTACCCATGACCATGGCTCCCCCTGACCATGGTCCCCCTGACCATGGCGTCATTGAGGGCAGGTTTGTGGAATCTGCAAAGACAACATTAACCATTAATGGAGGAACTGCCCACTCTGTGCCCCTCTCTGGACATCACAAAGGTGGGAACCCCCTGGGGAAGGCCTGGAGGGAGGCATCCTCAGCCCCTGAGGGGAGACCTGCAGCGGTGTCTGCACAACCTGGAGACACCCCATATCCCTGGTGGCCGTTTGAACCTCTGCTCTGACCCGTGACAGCCTCTAGCTGCYAGAAGATCTTCAATGACCAAGCCCCAGGGCAGGGGAAGGGGAACCGCTGGAGGGATAGCAGGAGAGGCGTGTTAATACTGTCCCCACCCCACCCCCTCATGCAAGGACATGGCTTCTGGGGAAGGGCAGGGGCACTAGCGGTACTGTTCAGTGGACAGGAGCAGTGACAACAGCCACTCTTACTAGCGCACCACCACCTGCTCCTTAGATCAACCAACCACACCTCAAACAAACTGCCCATTAACTGAATGTCAATCACTCCATGATGTTTACCAATGTGCTTCAGGATGGCTCCCGTGGCACCTTCTCCCTGCAGAGGACAACTGTCAAGCCAAACCGGAAAACCAGAGGGGGGGCACACACTTCCAGAAAGGGGTCCCTCCGTCCTGCCCACAGGGCTCCACCCAACACAGCTCTCTGATCACTTCAGTGCAGAGGGCAAAATCACGTGGGATCACAGCAGACAGGCCAAATTCAGATTCTATTCTATCCTTAGCCCTTCATTTGTGATTAATTTCCTTACATGCCCCCAAATAAAACAATGAAAATATGAAACTTAAGACCGTCTAAGTATTAAAAAAGGCACATTAGGCACCTCATGGACTGATAGGAAGCATCTCTAAGATCTCTTCTTAAAGGGAGAAGGCATGACGCAGAGCAACGGAAACAAAACCTCTTTGTGGTGMACACTAGCTACCATTGTTCACCATTTTTCTATAAACACATGAATATTTATGTGTGTGGATATATGTGCATTTTGCATTTGCCTTTGTTATGTGTCCTTTGAAAGCATAAGAAATTAGGAACCGGCGTTTCTCCCAGGAAGGGGATTTGGGCAGCTGAGAGAAGTTTGGCGATCCATTGTTATTTAACCACGGATGGCTCAAAAATTAATAAAAAACGGTTAGACAGGCAAAGGTGCTTGAAGACCCACCAACATGGCCAAAGGAAAATGAGTCTCTCTTGGCAGAGGAGGAAGTGCTGGAACCTGGGGCTGTGGCTGCCTGGGTGTGGGCAAACGAATCTGCCAGAAGAAGCTGGAGTCCTCTGCAGAAGGGTCAGGCTGGTRGCCTTGAAAGGCCGACTCTGGCAGGCAGGGCACTCAGCCCAGCTTGACCGCGGTGGCTGAGCTGGGGCTCAGAACTCTGATTGGCAGGTGTTCCTGGGGGAGGGGTGCAGCGGGGGGTGGGGGTGGGGTACAGCTGGAGTCTGAGGTGTGAGGAGCAGGAAGGAGAAACCGTGAACCTAGCAACTGGAAACAGGGGACTGCCCTTGATGGGTTTGTGGGGACAAGGATCTGACAAGAGTCAGTGAGAGAGAATGAGAGGCAGAGAGACAGGGCACGAGCTCGTGGGGAGGGTGGTAACAACAGGAGACTGGGGTAGGAGACCCGGGGGCAGGGGGATGAGCAGAGGAAAAGCGAACGAGACCCCAGAGAAGGATCGAGCTGTCACCTTGGCACCCAAGGACGACGCGGTTCCAGATGGGCCTCTGATTAGAGGAGTCACAGTGCTGTCCACTCAGGAAACAGTGAGTGACCGTCAAAGAAAATGACAGCCGGGAGGCGGGTGAGCCAGGGTTCCCTCTCTTCCCGCACAGGACTCTCCTGGGGCTGGAACCCAGAGCCCTGACCTGCCTCCCACCAGCGCCCGGATCCCGCATTCCTGGTCGAGGTCCAGTGCCCTCCCAGGGAACTCCACCACAGGCCAGCTCCCGGGACACACTGGAGGGGTGGCCGGTGCAGAGCACCAGAGGCCTTCTTCACAACAGGCCCAGGGGAGTGGGATTCCTGGGAAGGCCCAGGTTGGGGAGAGGCTCTGGGGTCCAGGGTGAAAGGGCAGAGGGCCACCGGGGGAAGAAAGGTGAAGAGCCAGACAGAGGAGGCCAGGAGAGCACAGCCCCCAAAGCAAAGTGATGGTGTGGACCACAAGGTGACAGGTGGTGTGTGACGGGAGGAGGGGAGGCGGGGACACAGGCTGCAGGGTGGGGGCAGGTGGAGGGACTGACGTTGGGTGACCCCTGCTTGCTCAGCAAATGAGGAGCTAAGGCCAACTGCTGCCGCAGATCGGGGTCTGGAGGACCTGAGGGGGTTGGGAAGCACCCCAGAGCTCCCAGGAGGKGCTCAGTGGCAGGAGAACAGAGCAGGCTCACTGTGTGCTCCGGCTTCCTGAAGGGACTGGACWGACCTGTCAGGGTCCCACAGATTCCAACTCCTGTTGCTCCCTGGGAAGTGTTCCCAGGTCACATCAGGATGTTTCGTCCCTTGGCGAAGGTCTCATTTTGCAAGAATGTTGCAAAAGTCCGAGGGTCACCCCCGGAGACAGCCAGCAGTGTCCTGCTCTCTGCTTCCTTCCGCACACATCTTAATCTCTTGCGTGGTCTTCCCTGGGCTTCACCTTCTCCTTTCTTGTTTTTACAATGGTCTTATTTATTTTCCACCTGCCGTGCCCCGCCCCCCCAGCAGCCTGCCTTTGCCAGCCCCCAGTGCTCGATGGATCCCTCCCCTTCTCCTTCCCCTTCTCGCTACTCCCTGCTGGGCTCCTCCACACTCCATTCTGGTTCTGAGTGCAGGTCTTGTGAGCAGGACCCAAAAACAGAATTTGCAGAGCTGTGTGCAAAATAAAAACGTGAGCCATGCCGATTAAAAAAAAAAAAAAAAAAGAGAATTTCAAGATGGTGACAGAGGAACAGAAGGGTCACGAGTCAGGCCCTTCTTAGCATAGGCTGCATGCCAGGAAGGGGGCCCTCCTAGGTTTTGAATATGCTCCCCAAAGTTCATATGTAGGAAATTAATCTGCATATTTATATGCTAGTGGTATCAGAGGTAGGGCCTCTGGAAAATTATTAGGACTAGATAAGGTCATGAGGGTGGGGACTTGTGACTACATTAGTGGCTTTATAATAGAGACCCAAGCTGGCATCCTTGCTCTGTCTCACCGTGTCATGTTATAATGCAGCAGGATGGCCCTCCCTGGGTGCCAGTTCTGTGTTCTTGGACTTACTGGTCTCCTGAACTATGAGAAATATTTCTTTTTTTTTTTCTATAAATTACCCAGTCTCAGGTATTCAATTACAGCAACAGAGAACAGACTAATGTGTGTGATATTTATTGCTTTAATTTATTGTTTTTCTTTACCAYTCTCTGAACACTTTCGATTTTGCTCTGTCACTTCTAATTGTTACTCTAACCTACTGTAACTTGCTTGATTTTATATGACAAGAGGCAACGTGCTATAAAAACCAAACAAGACGTTCTATTTTATTTGTTGTTCCTTTTCACCATTTCTTTTGCTTATTTGGAAGAGTGACATGAGACTTCCTCACAGGTCCAGCTGCCTGCAGTTGACGGCTCCTGCCGGTCAGAGCCCCTCCAAGTCACACTGTGAGGGGCACTGAGTTCCCCCACCAAAAGAAGACCCAGAGGAGCAGTAGGTTAAGCCACCCAGGCAGAAATCACGAAATACACATTCCTCAGTGTGTGCCTCGGGGCAAGCTCAGCAAGCTACACCCAGCCTTAGGGCCCTGCTCAGCTCCAGCAGATGGCCCAGAGGCAGGCACAARGCAGAGCACAGAAGCTTAACGCTTCCTCCTCCATTTGAGGGATGTCACCTTGAGCTTCTCCCTGGCTGCCCTTCATTTCTGGTCACCTGTCCCATCTCTTCCCTCCCAGCCCCACCCCAGGGCCCTGCCACCTACTTGTTGGTCTGCCTCTGGTGCTGGATGACCATGTTTTTCTCGTGGATCGTCTCCAACAGGGCGGTTGCCAGAGATTTCAGGTCAGAAATGGACTGCGGAGTAGCGGGGAGACTGCACCCGTGGTCCTCGGAGAGCAGGTCYTGAACTAGGTAGGGCATGAAATGGACAACTCGGAGTAAATTCTTCGAGAACGCTGGACTGCACACCCAGGTCAACCCCTCCTGGAGAACGGAAGGTTCCCAGCTTTGAACTGCTGCTCTACTGCACCGAAGGTTCACCTCGATTGTCAAGAGTAAAACAACATAAAACCCATGGTGATAATGGACTTTCATCTGCAATTTGAAAGAAGATAATACTATTTGCATTTACCTAGTATGTTAGACACTTTCAGGCTAACTCACTGAGATCTAAAATTGAMAAAAAAGGTAATATGCATTTCCATTTCGTGGACAGGAAAGCAAGGTACAGATGGGTTAGACACATTGGCTAAAGGTCACACCGCCACACACATGACAACGACYCCTACCCCTGAGCTCCTTGTTTGAACTCGGATAGTGCGATACCCCTGGCAGGTGGTCAGATAATGCAGGAGGTGATTTGGATCGCAAAAGAGTTTTTTGTGTGTGTTTGGGTGGCTACATGGCTATTTGAAAGTATTGTAGGAAAGAAAATAAGTGGCAATAACAACTGAGTGATTTTACCAATCACAGATGCTACTACAGAAGACAAGCCCAAGTGGAACGAGTCATGTTAAACTGCTTCCAAGAAAAATATTCAGCCAATGATAGCATAAAGTGGTCCAAAGATACGGTGAGGAACTGCACAGCAGACTGCAAGTGCCCGAGTGCCGGGGAAGAGATGGCCACAGACGCGCTGCTCCTGGATGCTCCTTGTTCCACTAAACGCCAAGCCACGCACATGGCCAAGTTCAGCATGAAGCCAAGCCCCACACAGGCCAGTGTGCCTGCAGGGTTCCGACCCCCATGAAGGGGCCCATCTCTTCTGCACCCCTGCCCTGGATGAGGAGTCCCTGTTGACAAATTCCCAGGTGCCTATAAATRTCTCTGATAGGAAATGCTCTTGCTTTTTGTGTCAGCTGCAGAAGTGTCTGTTGAAAAAAATCATTTCTGATTTGTCTCCACGCCAGTTACCACTATATAATGGGAGATCCCAGGTATGGGATGATTAGTTTAGCAAAAAAGTAGGCCCACTGCTTCCTTTATGGCAAAGATCATACTTGTGTTAATACAATAAAGRTTTCATTAGCATCTCTGGCAACAAAACACCCCAATGAATAACACGTGAATATCATCCGCTAAACTTTCTACGACTTTTTCATAGGGATGTGCTAAAACTCTGCTTCCCCATTTATGTTGGGCTGGGCTCAAAGTGACTTAAATGTCAGAAACCACGAGCCCCTCCCACAACATGGACCTGATCTACACGTGGAACTCTGTCTCTGCTACCCTAGGGTCATTGAGAGGCTTCTGCATACCGGTCCTTTCTTACTCTGAGTGTCTATTCTTCAAGTTTGGTTTGCACATTTTGGGGGGCGGGGTACTGGGGATTGAACACAGGTTCRCTACCACTGAGGTGCACCCCTGGCATTTATTTGTTTATTTAATTTTGAGACAGGGTCTCACCAAGTTGCTTAGGGCCTCACTAAGTTGCTGAGGCTGKCTTGAACTTRCAATCCTCCTGCCTCAGCCTCCTAAGTCACTGGGATCATAGGCGTGTGCCATGGAGCCTGGATTGGAGGTTTTGCATCTTGCATTATCCCACCCTTATTTTTAGAAAGGGTAGTTAAACAGAGATGATGTAAAACAAGGACACTGGATCTCCTTCCAGATAGAAGAAACAATATAAATCTCTCATTATGTATCTTTGAATACTGTTCCTATGTGACTGTATGTAAATCTATGTGATAATATGTAACTATATGTAAATATATGTGACTATATGTAAATAAACATACAATTTTTTTTCCTTCAAAAATGGGGAAAAGTCTTGATTTTTCTACTTAACGATATTCTACATTAACATCCCCTAAAACATAAAACTTAATGGCTGTTTTAGTAGTCCATATAACGATATWTGCTAATTTATTTAACTACTGTTTGATATTTGATGTTTACAATTTTTTTTTATAACTAGTGAAGAACTTTCTTGCAACAAATGTTTGCATGTGTCTGTGATTATTTCTTGCTGGTTCAAAGGGGGATCCGTTTTGGCTTTTCACAGTGCTTTGCTGTAGATGTATAGGCTTTGATTATGGATGCCAAAGATCACTGTTGATAAGCTTTTCATGGGGGTTTTTTGGAAGGGTTGAGTCAGACTTAGAGATCTGTCACTGTGTGAGGGGTGGCTGGTGACGCCATCAAGGACCACACTGGGAACCCACACTCAAGGCCAGGTTGCTATTTATGGTAGCCGGAGCTACGCAGATGGGCTACTGCATGTTTGTAGAGAATATCATTGTTTTCTTCTAAAAAAYATTCTAGGGTGTTCTTCCCCCATGRAGTGGACAAACAGAAGTTGCCTGGTGCAAAGCCCTGGCTGCTGGGAGCTGGAGACCTGGCACATCTGTTTYAGCCACTGTGGCTCTGATCGGGATGGCCACATGTAGGGATGGTGGGCACCGTCAACGGCCCAGAGTGGGCCACTGAGCACGCGCCACTSGAGGCTTATGTTTAGAACTGAATTCCAAATATTGAGTGTCAGACGCAAGCTCTCTGCTATTTATTCCCCTGGACTGTTCCTGGAAAATCATTATTTTTCATAGGAATCGACGAGAAGGAGGAACAAAATTGCAATCAATATGWGCTGCTTTGAAAGAAGCACATGTTCCAAGATAGAACAACTTCAGCAGCTACGGGCTTTCCATTCTGATCGCAGAGGCCAGGAAAGGAGACGCTCCAGGAGGTTCAAGCACATCTTGGAGACAGGTGCTYGGCTGTGATGAGGGGAGGAAAAGCCTCCCTAAAGGCAGAGCGCCGTGTGGGGCACAGGTATCRGGAAGACCTCTAGWGCAGTGGTTCTCAAAGTGGGGCCCCAAGGTAGCTGCAGTGCCACCTGGGAACATAGGTATTCTCAGGCCCCCTCCCCAGACCTACTGAACCTCTGGGTGGGCCTGGCACTCTGTGTTAACAAGAACTGCAGGGGATCCTGATGCAGGTGGGGGTTTGGGAACCGCTGCTCTTGGGGTGGCCTTGCTTTCCAGCCCACAAAACCAGCAGCTTGGATACCACGTGGACCCGAGCTCCAGCGTGCCACATTCGTAAGTTGTCCCACCCGGGGCACGAGGTCCTACCTTGCTTTGCAGACAGGACTCCGGTCAGAGCGCTGCTGCTGGATTTGCCCTGGCCCTTTGAGTTCTTTCGTCTCTCAAGAGCATTCTAGAGAAGTATGGGGAGAAAACAAAACCTTGGTCAGGAAACTCAATGAAGGAAAACACAGGAGAGGCATTTCCCCTTGGCACACGAGGGCCCCCTGCAAGCTCCGAATGCCAGCCTAAAACACAGAATTCTCAGTCCTCGCCAAAGAGTTATGATTTTATGGATCCAGTAAAGAGTTTTTTAAAAAGTTGCCCCCTACATTCCAAAGGTGCTCACTGCATATTCACTAAATTAGATTAAATCTGAAACAAGAACACAGTCTATCTTGCTTATGTTATGGAAATCCCTTTTAAAGAGACATGAAACAGAATAAGTTTATTTTCATGCAGCAAAGGTGCTCTCTGCAAGGATCTGGGCCCTGGGTTGGAAAGAGAGCCACAGTTGATTAGTGATGTCTGCCYTGGACAMAGGKTAAAGCAGKGYATCYGKGCCACCTGCGCGTCCTTCTTAAAACAGACTCTTGCATTAAAATTYATGTGCAATATATAATCAGGGCTTGGCACATAGAAAAGAATAAATGTTAAATAAATGCATCCACACATTTTTTAAAATCATGCATTAAAAGATGCATATTTCTCTGGCTGCACGTGTTTGTATAGATCGGTGTAAACCTAAGTGTGGCCCCACAGAATGGAGCAGCTTGGCGATTTCTGCAAACAAAAGCTAAAGCCAACCACCAGGACCATGAGTGGGCTCTCCCAAACATGTAGATGGCTGCAGCACTTCACCCTCAGGAAGAGAAATCAATCTATTTTCAAAGCAGAGAAACCCAGGAGATTTTTCTAATTATAACACTTAGAACCAACATCTGCAGAAATAGATATTATCAAACTAATGGTGCTAGAATTAGACTAAATAACGATGGGGAGAATTTAGACCTTCCGTCTTTTCACTGTGACGTGAACATGGTCGTTGGACTGCGATTTCTCCCCCCGTTGTTCCTCCGTCCCTTGGAGATCATTTTCTTATGGCTGATTATGAGGCAAATAGCATCTAACGACAGGGGATATTACAAGAAAATAGGCAGGAGCCCTAATTTCATATGGACTGGGGCCAAGAGTACAAATTACCGGATTTGGGGGTTCAGTGTTCGCTGACAAGACTTCAGCAACAGAGGGGCTCTGGCAGACACCACTTTGGTGGCCTTTGCTGTTTGGAGGTTGTTGCTGGTTATCCTAGGAAAGCGCTCCCCCAGGTAGAGCTCCCTCCAGGTAAAGCTCTATGCCTGCAGCTCCTGAGAGGGATTAAAACGGGTGACCTTCAGGGGTCAACAGCAGACCGCACGGTGGTCGTCGTGATTCAGTACCTTGTATTTGGCAATGTTGGATTTCAGGAGGTTCACCTCTTCGTGGAGCTGCTTCAATCTCTCTTGAAGGTACCTGGAAAGGAACATCCACAGTCAGGATGTGTCTGGGGACCACGCCAAGCCCACACTAAAGCACGAGAGGAAATAGTGGCAATCACCTGCCAGCCCGGGCCACTTTGCACACCAGGCTCGCTCTCATCTCAGAAAGGAGAAAAACGTGCATCTTTGTGACCTTTTCTTAAGTGGATGCGATCAAGGTCAAACATGCCCAAATCACAGACACCCTGCTCTACGCAGGCCTGGCCAAGGTCCCCTCAGGGACAGGGCACAGTGTYCACAGAGTTCTCATTAAGAGGGCKCCTCTRGGGGGAAGGAGCGACACCAGGCCCCACGTGAAGTCAGACACACGCACACTCTGAAGTTGGCCTCGGGGGAGAGAAACAGCTGAGGGAATTTCTCAATTTATTTTCTCATTCTCCTCCTTCCCCCTGACAGCAGTAACACGGAGCTCGGTGGCTCCTCACCCTCTGGCCCAACCGGGCGGGTGCGGGGAAGAGGGAGAGGGATGCGCAGGTGTGGGGCCTCTGACCTTTACCGCTAGTGTGTGACAYTGGTGTCATTTTGAGGTTGTGACTTCCTTTCTGCTCTAAGGCAATTTTCTCAGATGCCTCGGGGGCTTCCCGCTGGCCCCCGCGGCTCTTGCCTGTTTTCCATGCACAGAGCGTCCACGTCGATGATGCGGTTCTCGTGGCCACCCAGGATGTGGTTGAGCTCCTGGTTCAGCCGCTGCACCTTGTTCTGGTAGGAGGCCCGCTCATCCTTCACGTCCTGGAGCTCGTCCACCGAGGCCTGCAGGTCCTGCTCCAGGGACTCAATCTGGAACCCAGGCCGGAGTCACCCTCAGGACCCACCGCCTTGGCCTGGCTTTGTGGCCGTCCCCGCCCTGGGCTTCCTGACCCACATGCCACAGGCAAGGCCCAGGGACACAGGCAGAAGCAGGGGCTGCCCTTCTGGCCGGCATCACTGTCCCTGAGACAACCGGGCAGGGCAGCCTGGAAGAGCAGAAGCAGGTCCCCCACCTGCAGCAGGCCCTCCGGCCTCAGCTCAGAGAGGCTGAGCTGGACACTGGCCACAGCTGCTCAGAACCACTTAGTAAGAGGGCAGAGCTGTCGGGGCCCTGGGCTGCTCCCTACCCAGGGCCCTGTACCATAGGAGATTCTGCCGAGAGAAGCCTTGCTCAGCATTTTAGTGAAAACTTGGCCAATTCTGTTCAGTTTTTCACATTTTCTCCCCTCGCGGTCTGTCCTGGGAAGGGGCAGAGTTGCCTGTGTTCAGAACAGAGGCGTCGAGTATCAGGGGCGTCCCCCCAGGAGCCAGAACCCAGAGCCCGGGAGCCTGGAGCAGCACGGAGGAGAGCCCAGCTGCTCTTCCCTGCACCGTGTCCCCCTGTGCCCACGCGTCCCCGGCCCTCACAGAGGCCAGCCCTCACCTGCTCCTTGGCCCGCTCCAGCTGCTGCACCAAATCTTCACGCTCGTGGGCTGCAAAGTGCCGTGCGCCAATCTCTTCGTCCCCAAGCCTCTGTTTGGCGATTGTCATCCTCAAGAGCTGCATTTCCACAGGATGGAGCAGGGGATGGAGAGAGACAGGTGGACAGACAGACAGACAAAGAAACAGAACAGGAATAAGTAAAGAAGGACAGCAGACTGAAACTTTGGATAGGAAATATGCTTTCAAGAAATATTGGGGGAATGGCTGGGTGTGGTGGCACACCTGTAATCTCAGAGGCTTGGGAGGCTGAGGCAGGAGGATGGTGAGATCAAAGTCAGCCTTAGCCAAAGTGAGGCCCTAAGCAACTCAGTGAGACCCTGTCTCTAAATAAAATACAAAACAGGGCAGGGGATGTGGCTCAGTGGTCAAGTGCTCCTGAGTTCAATCCCTGGTACCCAAAAGAAATACTGGGGGAAAAAGACAACTGCATGTCGATACGATGGATCCTTTAAAAATATTTATTTGTTTATTTTCTTATTTGTAGATTGTTACTTTATTTATTTATTTTTATGTGGTGCTGAGGATYGAACCCAGGGCCTCACACATGCTAGGTGAGAGAAGCCTTGCTCAGCATTTTAGCAAAAAACTTGGCCAATTAAGTTCAGTTTTTCACATTTTCACAGGATGAGCAGGGGATGGAGAGAGACAGACGGACAGACAGACGAAGAAACGCCGAGTCACAACTCCAGCCCCCTATGAGGGATTTCTCACCGCCTACGTGTGTGCAGACAGCACGAAGCCTGGCCTGGAGAGSSAAGGYGGATGCACCGCAGGGCAGATTCTGGGTCTCACTTAAAATCAGCAAAGATTCAAAGAGGAGGACCCCACGCTGCAGAGGACCCCTGGTGGTGAGCTCCCAGGCTCTCAGTGATCAGGAGCCCTAGAAATGTCCCTACCCAATGACGCGTACCTCCACTTGTGACCATCTGGGCTAAGAAGAACCCAGGTAGGGACTGGCTTTGGGGAGGAAGACAGGTCRACTGCAGGGCCATCCAGAGTCAGGGAGCCGGACACAGAGCCGACAGCAGAGGRTCAGCAAAGGCCGTGGCCGTCAACAGCAAGCACGCAGCTGTCGGAACCGCGGGCTCCGTGAACCGCGTCCTGCCAGGCAGCTTCCTCGCGATGCCAGGCTAAGTGGGCAGAGGGGACACAGACTCCCCTACGAATGTGATTCAACTGTCCCCAGAGCTCATGAAAGAATGACCGACCGAGTCCCCCAGATCACTCACATGGCATGTTTGGGGAGGAGGCTGCACGGCCACCGGCCTTTCTTTGTGGTTTGGTTTCTTAAGCCACAGGCACGAATCTCATTTGGTTTATAGGTTTGAAAATCTCCAGGGAGAAAATTCCAGTCTCCAACAACGTCGTTTTCCAAGGGACCGCCCAGAACCCAAGCTTCTCGATGTGACCTGGCCAGGGCAGCCTGCTGGGGCCCTCCTTGCTCCTGCGTGGATCTTCAGACATTATTTGAGCCGACTTCGTGACTTTGGAAGTCTCTGAAGGGTGCAGGGCAGGGGGACGCGAGGGGCACAGGAAGCAGGAAGCAGCAGCCGTGGCCTTGGGAGACCAAGGAGGGGGACAGGAGAGCGCGTCGGCCCGTGTCGTGTACTCTGAGTCCTGGTCTGAAAACTACTCTGCTGGATCCCACAGATACCCGTGGGGTGCCAGGAGCTGCCGCGTGCGTCCCTGGGCCAGGCTGGTGGCTGCGCTGCAGGGTCTGCTCGCCGTGCCGCCTSCGCCCTGTTCGCGGCTTCTGGATCTGTGACTCTGCCTCCCCAACCAGCCCCCTTGTAACCCCAGCTCCACATTCGAGGTCTCCCGTGATCACTGTGGGACACACGCAGAGTGGTGAGAATCCCGAGGGCCACACATGCGTCCCCTGTTGAGGTCACACAAGGCCACTTCCCCCTCGTGATTCAGCGGGAACCGGAGACGAGGGGATTTCTCACAGCCTCTGGTTAGTGCCAAGGTTTTTATTTTTCAATCCTGCTGAGGTTTGGGGACATTCAACTGTGTATGTCTGTGGGGCACAACATGCTGTTTCAACACACGGAAACAAGGGGTGCTGGCCACATCTGGGCCATTGGCACAGCCACCACCTCGAACCGTTGCCACCTCCTTGTGTTTCAGCTATTTTGAACCAAACCATGGATTCTCTGGGGCTAGGGAGGCAGGAGGACTCCCCTGGCTGTACAATAGAACATGGGGACTTATTCCCCCATCCAACTGCCACCTTGTACCTGTTGACCATCCCCCCTCCCCCACCCCCTCAAAAACCACAGTTCCACTCTCTACTGCTCTGAGATCCTGAAGTATTTGTCCTTCTGTGCTTAGTTTGTCTTCCAGATTCATCTGTGCGGTCACAAATGATACAATAACATCTTTTTTAAGGCTGAATAGTATTCCACCGTGTGTGTGTGTGTGTGTGTGTGTGTGTGTGTGTGTGTGTGTGTGTCGCTGGTGGTGGACACTGGTTGGTTCTGCACCTGGCTGTTACGAACAGCGCTACGGTGACAAGAGCTGGTGTTGCTCACACATACCGATCTGGGTCCTTTGAGATGATACACCCAGGAGTGGGATTGCTGAAGGCCAAGAAGGGGAGCGTCCTTCATGCCACCAGACTCTTGGCTCAGGACGTCAGAACCCCAGAAGTGTACGCACAGAGGGACAAACGCCAGCAGAACAGGAGCCAGCCATCAGAGGAGGGCCTGGGAGCCGGGGCGCTGAGCTTTCCCGTGTGGCCACGGGAGCCGGTCGTGCCCTTAAAGGGGGGACTTCTCCTGGGAYGTGAAGAGCAGATCGACGGCCTGAGCTTTAAGTAATGGAGACGGCGGTGGCCCGGCCACAGCATGCCTCGCTGACCACTTCATCCAGAACCCCACAGTCAGGTTTGTGTTCTGCCGATTGATTATTCAACGTGTCTATGGAGCTCCGACAGCCATACGAGAGAGTCTCCTTCTGTACACGGACACCGTGAGGCTTCGATGAACACGCCGACAGTCGTTGGGCGTTTAACGTGCACACAGTCGCAACTGCAGGCTGCCAGGCTGCACGGGTGGAAATGCTTGGTTTTTGGAAGTGAGTCCCGAGTGGGTAAGAGCTGGTGGTGAGTGAGTCTGAGATTCAAGTGCAGCGAGCCGAAGGAGCCTGAGATGACAAGATGGGGACGGCAAAGCCTGGGGAGAGTCCTCCTGCCTCCCCAGCCTCAGAGATGAGCTCCTGTGCTCTGGAACCGGCGGCCTGGGGCCCCTATCCTGGCTCCACATACCAAGCTGTGCAACTCGGAGAATGTATCTGAACATCTCTGGGCCTCAGTCTCCTCGTGGGTCACAACCGGGCATTGGGGCACTCGCCTGAGGGCTGCTCCAAGGTGAGGCGAGAAAGTGGGGGACCTTCAGTGGCACCTACTTAGGGGGACTCAAATACATGTGTTCGGCAAGAAAAAAAAAAGAGAAAGAAAGAATTTTAAGACTTCGGAGACCATCCTGTGGCCAATGCCCTAGCCTGGGAGTGAGGTAGGAAAGTAAAACTATGTTGATTTATTAAATGTACAAATATCATGTTGATTAATACATTTGTGCAAAACCACGCCGTTGATATCTTCTGTGACACTACAACTCGGCAGCATGACCACAACAAGGGGCCCCCAATTCCTGGGCACGTTCAGGGAACATCAAGGGGARTTTGGGCTGGACACGGATTTCTGCCACGTACCCGGCGGATGGCGGCACCTGCCCTCATCAGAGACTTCCCGGGGACACCTGGCGCCATCCTGGAGCCTGAAAGGGGCTTCACAGACGTCAGCGGCTCCTGGCTCACTGCTCACGTGGGGCCAACCGCAGGGTCGGCGTGGGCCCTGCGAGGGACGTCCWCCTTCCAGCTGCACTCTCATCTGCAGGGTGCAGGCAAACAGGGCTGATGTCCCCCCTTGGAAAATGCCACCAAGCAACTGCTCAACTCCCTCAGACAGGGCTGTCCAGGTGCCACCACCCGCCTCCCCTGCAGCCCGCAGGTGGGTCCCAGCCCGACGCAGCTCCTGCTCCACCAAGAGATGCATCCATGTGCTGATTGGGGTAGAAATAAATGTTTATGAATGGATTACGRCGCCAGGCATCAGCCCGAGGATGAGGCACAGCTGCAGCTGGGCCGYAGCTGAGGGAGATGGCCCCAAACAATGTGCTGAGATGGCTTGGACAGCCCTTCCCCCAGCCGCAAGGACCCTCCCCAGGTTCTGAGTGAGGAAGACTGGCTTCCTTCTTTGATCTTGGCCTTTCTCTCTCATGGCCCTCAAAAGCTCCACCTCGTCTTGTTTTCAATCACCTGAATCTATTTTACCCAACAGGCAGGCAGCCAGGTGCYGGAACAGCTATTCTCTGTGTTCAGATCATTACTCCTGGCTGTGTGCTCTTGGCAAGCTATCTAAACTTGCTAAGCCACGTGTGACTTGACTTGCTGGCTTTAAAAAAATAAATAAATAAATAAGGATACAAGTTATCTTGTAGATAGGACGACCATGTATGGTTGCCCAGGCTGTGTACTGCACATCCGCAGCTCCAGGGGTTTCCATTCCTAGTAGGTGAAGATACAGTGCAATGGTCACTGTTCATGTGACTCTCGATGGAGCTTTAGAAGTRCAATCCCCAGTTACACTTGGTATGGTTACAATTCCAACACAGTGGCTATTATTTCCCAGGGCTATTGGAAGAGTTAGATGAAAGACCTGCTAACAGGAAGAGGATGCCCACCCTTCTTTGGCCCTTGTCCTTGTGTAGGGCTGCAAACAGCCCACCTGGACCCGGGGTCAGCAGGAAAGGCATTTATGAAACATCCACTGGGCCCCGGGCTGTGCTGAGCAACCTCATAAATAACGCCTGCCCTCCTATTAGTGGGGGAGGGTACCGGGATTGAACCCAGGGCCACTGAGCCACATCCCCAGCCCTATTTTGTATTTTATTTAGAGATAGGGTGTCACTGAGTTGCTGAGGGCCTGGCTTTGGCTGAGGCTGGCTTTGAACTAGTGATCCTCCTGCCTCAGCCTCCTGAGCCTCTGGGATTAC